ACTCAAAAAAAAAAAAAAAAAGTTTAATGAGAAATTAGATGTCATGTCTCTCAGTATGCTACATTTTGGAATCCATGGGAAATCTGGTCCCAATTGGTGATTTTTCTCTTTTGTAAATGCAAATATTCTCCAGTGGCTTTTGATTTTTCCATGTAAACTTCCCTCCTGGTTGTGGCCACTTTATGTGTCATCTCCCCCAACCCCTACCCCAGTGTAACTGTGAGGTGGCTTCCTGCCTTCTCAGTTCCTGACTCTTGACGTTGTTACGGGCTGGTGGTGTGGCATCACACTGCTTTGGGGCCAGGTTTCCAAGACAGCAGGTTTCTGCTCTGATAGTAAATTTCAATCTAAAGGTGTAGGGGGATGGCCCAGACTCTACCTCTGGTCATTTGTGTGGCTTGTGGTTTTTCTTCTGTTTTTCAGAACCCACTAATTGGGGGTGAGTCTCACCTTGCTGCGTCCCTGACTCCTTTGATCTCTTTGGTGCTCAGCTGTCTCTCCATAGCACACAGTCGGAATATATTTTGTGTGTTTGGGGTGTGTGGGAAATGCCTCTTGCATATTGGCAAACGTGGCTGACACTGATCAGACTGAAGTCTGCAGTCTGTGCCTACCTCTCTGTGTGGTGTATTTAGGCCTGAGGCCCAAGGGTTAAGCTGGGTTTCAGTGCAGCTGCAGCCTGTCAAAGGCTTGTAGAATGGGTATCTGAGTTGAACTAAAATCTTTCTTTTGCTTTCTGCTGAGAATAGGTTCTGACCGGGAGGCAGCAACAAATACAAGAGAAGATTGAACAAAACCGACGGGCACAAGAGGAATCCCTAAAACACAGGGAGCAACTCATTCGAAGTCTTGAGGAAGCAAGAGAGTCAGCTCGTCGCGAAAAAGAGGAGAGCGAAGAGCTGAAATCAGCCAGGAAGCAGGAGCTGGAAGCCCAGGTGGGGTTGATCCCATGAGCAGGAGGCAGCCTGGGCAAGGGGCATGAGAGCCAGGAGGAAGCAGGCCCTGTGGGGTTCTTGCATTGTCGTAGGGGCATACTCAGAGGCTGTCCTTCCAGTTCCAGGGCACGCTCCATTCCCAGGCCTCCAGCTTTTATGGGCACGAGGCTGCCATTACTGCCTGGCCTTTCTTTATCCCATCTGCTTCTGCAAGCAGTTGGCTTACTGGGCCCAGTTCCCTGTTTATTCCATTCAGTACCCGACAGGTAACACAAAATGGTCTTCCAAACACATGGCCTTATCCCGAGCTCTAGCAAGGCATGTGGTGCCACACTTAACAGCCTCTCCCATCCCCTGGTCCCATTCCTGCTCACTGGTATTGCCGTTGCTGTTACTTAGCTCTGGCTCTCCAGTCCCGTGCGGGCCACAGGCTTCCCTTCCTGATCAGAGGCAGGACTTTGCACTTGTCTCAGGGTGGGCCTTGTCTCAGGGTGACTTGGCTCTTGGTGCCCAGGTTGCAGAGCGCCAGCTGCAGGCATGGGAAGAGGACCAGCAGGAGGAGGAGGAAGAGGAGGAGGTCAGGCAGGCAGAGCAACTCACTGACGCCCTGCTGCAGCAGGAGGTGACGACGATGGCTGAGCAGGGCTACCGACCCAAGGTAGGGCGCCTGTCACCATAGCCGAGCCACATGCAGGCTGGGCCTGCTTCTACAGCCAGTCCGTCACCCTGTGCTCACCTCTGTTCTCTGGCTGGCCTGGGTTTTCCCTTGCTCCTCTTCTCCTGTAGTTCTCTCTTTTCTGACTAGTGGGGAACCTCGACACAGGGTCTGTTTCAGTCCTTGCCTGGGCCTCAGACAACCCTCAGGTTGATCTTGCCCTGTGTTCTGCCTGCTAAACTGCATGCCTGTCTACCCTGTTTGGGGATAGAGAGCAACCTAAGAAGAGCTGTGGCCACAGCTTGTGAGGGGCAACAGAGCAGTGGGTCTTGTCCAGCTGTTGAGACCATGGAGCCAGGTGAACAGGAGGCCCATCTCCCTCCCTCCCTCCTCCCCCTCTGTCTCATCCTATCCTCCCTTCTGTGTGTGTGTCTTTCCTTCCCTGTCTCTCAGAGTGACCCTCCTGTGCAGGGTACCACAGGGAGCACAGAGAAGCAAAGGCTGCCACCCCAGCACTGAGGGAGCTGATGACCGAAGCACCCTGGTGCTGACTGAGGGCCTGGCAGGCATATTATCTCTGCCCTCCTTTTCCCAGGGCTCCCCTGGCCACTTGGTGCTCTAAAGAGCATTCCCTGGGACACATGCTGCAAAAGAGAAGCCTGGCTCCCTCATGGCTAGATAACTCTGGGAAACCAAGTGAGGCAAAATTAGAGCAGCTACCGCATTTGACTTAGAATGTTAACATCCTGACATGTGTGACTCTCGGAGGTGCAGGGAACAGCATTTTCTAAACTCATTTGACCATGGTTCAGTGAGTGTTTCAGAATCACAGTTTCACAGAGCATATGTGAAAGTTCCTTGGGCTGGTACTTAAAAAAAAAAAATTATAAGGTGCCTAATTTGTGGTTTAGGGTCAAACTTTTTCACCTGTAATGGGAATGACCATTTATATTGTGCTTTTACTTCTTACTTAAAACGAGGTTAACTTCCAATGCTCCAGCAACTGATCAGTCTTGTTTTCTTTCTTTCTCAGCCTTATGGACATCCTAGAATTGCTTGGAACTGACTTCATTGGTAGTGTAAGCACAGAGAACAAGGGATGCCGAGGGCTTTGGCTGCCAGACAGGGTTTCAGTGTTCTGTTGCAGTCATTGTTCCAGGCACTGTCACATAGTTTGGTGGTGCCCAGTCTGGTATGTGATTAAAAGCTTCAAGGGCTTGGCAGGATGTTAAGGTGTTATAGATATGCAGCTGCTGGTGAAGGCCCTTTTCTGCCTTTCTTATCTGAGAAAGGGTATTTTGTAGGAACATGTTTACTGTAATACATTATAATGTAATCATAATTATAACATTTTAAATGCTGTAAGATTCTAGGTCAGTACAAAGAGCCACAGGTGGTATCCCATGATTGGGTATATAACTGTCAGCCTCCAGTCAAGACTAGCTAGAGAGATGAGGGAACTTTTTCAGTTTCTAAAATTGTTGTTTAAATTTAACTTTATTTTTTTGGAAACAAACTTACAGTTCTTGGTGCAGCTTATTTCAGGGTTTATTAATTTGGTGGCTCCCAAAGGATCACGTCTTTTGTGTTCTTGAAGAAAAGAACTACTAGCAAATTAGAACCCTGGAACAATCTAATGTGGTCCATGAATGTTTTCTGAGAAGGTGGCAAGTAATGAGTCTTTTCTCCTTCAGAAAGCATTTTGGTAGAATTAACATAGAGCATTGTGTGTGGGTGAGTGATCCCAATATGTATGTTGCCCAGCCTCAAAAGGGACCTCAAACTAGGGGTGGGATGGTGGTGCATGCCTATAGTCCCAGCTACTTGGGAGGGAGGGTGAGCTAGAAGGATCCCTTGAGCTCAGGAGTTACAGACTGGGCAATGTAGTGAGATCCTGTTTCTTTAAAAACAAAAAGAAAGGCTGGCTAACCTTTTAAAGGCAGGGGCGTGACACTTGGGACCTCTGGTGTCTTGGGAAGGTCTTGGGTACATGTAGCCTTCTGAAATTTTTGTGCCCAGAGAAATAGGCACTAAACTTGAAAAAATAGATTAGACTCAGAACCACAGATGGACCCAATGTTTATCTCTCATCATTCTGTCAATGTGATACAGTTCTAGATTAATCTTTACAAATAACTGCAAGTTCCTTGCATCAATAATCATATTTTAATGACTTATTTTTTTTCCATGCTCTTCCTCTGAGGTTTCAGTTTTCATTACATTGTGTTCAAGATTTCATAACTCAGTAAATTACAGCTAATTAATGGGCATTGTTCCAAGGTTGTTAAAAACCAGAGCTTATTAAAAATTCCTGAGTATAAGGGCTGCATTGCCTTTCACTCCATTGTGAGCTGCAAACCATGTCCTTAATCTGTTTTTCATTTAAGTCCTGGGATTCTTTGGATATGATCTCCTGAGTACCACTTTCATCATGCATGCTTATATTTATTTCCCCATTTCAGATGTGTATTAATTGTTCTGGTTTGATTCAGACATGTATTAAAAGTTCTGGTTTGACAGCATTTCTTCCAGACTTTGTTACTGTTTCTCTTATTTATTGCTGCAAAGTAAGTTGCTAGTGATAGATTTTAACTGATTTAATTCACATGTCCTGTAGGTTTGGATATTTCCTATGCCTGGTCATATTTTATAGGTTATGCTTTTTCTTGTGAAAGTGGTACTCTCTCCCCTTTTACTTCCATTGGAACCATAGAGAATTATTAGCAATCTAGATAGTGCTGTGTCTGTACTCCAGGATAAACTCCATGTGAACAGAATGCCTGGTAGACAGGCACTGCAATACTTACTGAAGAAATAATTTTATTTTAATTTTTTGCTTATGAAGCCTGGTGGTTATCTTCCTTTTTGGCATTATAAATATGCTGCACTGATATATTTAAATGTTTCTGTTTTAAACTGGGCCAGAATCTTTGTTTTCTAATTTAGAGCTTCCACTCTCCTACTGTTTCTGTTTATGGCCCATATGCCTCATATGTATTTTGATTGTGTTGTAGTTACAAATACATATATTGGCTTTATTGTTTCTAAGCATTTTTTCTATTTACTTAGATCACTTTTTGGCAGATTTTTCTACAAAGGCCAATCCCTGTACTACAGAAGATGCCGAAGCTACTACTCTAAAAGGACTTTAAAAAAAAAAAAGGAATGTGTTTGTCCAAGTTTATGAGAATAATGTCATGTAAAAGGACTACTGAAATGTAAATGATGACTTTTACGCCTTTCTGCCCCTCAGTTAGCACACATTCTCTCTAGGGAAAGTACAGTGCTAGGCCTGGGGAAGTCACATAACTGACCAAGAACAGGGACAGGAGTCAGGCACTAGAATCAGTCAGACCCATGGAGGACAGATGGCGCTGGCTGGCATGGCCTGTTGTAACTCAGGGAGCTGAAGGGGCCTTTGTGCGACAAATGTAGTCTGTACATTCTTTTTTTTTTTTTTGAGTTGGAATCTCACTCGGCCGCCACAGCCTCAACCTGCTGGGCTCCGGCGATCCTTCTGCCTCAGCCTTCCGAGTAGCCGGAATTACAGGCATGCGCTACCACGCCCGGCTGATTTTTTTTTTATTTATTGTAGAGATGAGGTCTCGCTGCCCAGGCAGGTCTCGAACCCACGGGCTCAGGCAATCCACTCACCTCAGCCTCCCAAAGGCGCGGGATTACAAGCTGAGCCACCAAGCCCGGCTAGTCTGTACGTTCTTAATTCTTTATGGATATAATGAATATTTTTCATCATCTGGGTTTTTAAGGTAGTTTTCAGTGTTCATAAAATATAGAGCATCATTTAAGAGATACTGTAAAGGCTTTAAAAATATTGACCCTAGCAGTTTTTTTTTTTTTTTTGAGTTGGAGTCTCACTCTGTTGCCCAGACTGGAGTGTAGTGGCATGCTTCCAGGCACCACAGCCTCGACCTGCGGGGCTCAGACGATCCTTCCACCTCAGCCTTCCAAGTAGCCGGAACTATAGGTGCGTACTACCACGCCCAGCTAATTTTTTGATTTATCGTAGAGATGAGGTCTCACCATGTTGTCCAGGCTGGTCTCAAACCCACGGGCTCAAGCCATCCTCTCACCTTGGCCTCCCAAGTGCTGGGATGACAGGCTTGAGACACTGCGCCTGGCTGGCCCTAGCAGTTCTGGGTGAACTTCACTAACTTCAGTCATGAAGCCACTGGAATTTGATTTTAGGGAGCTTATTTATTAGGTATCACAATGTCTTTATTTTAGAGGGACATTTACTGTGTGACTTAATATTATGATTACCCTAAAAACAATGTCTACCTCAAAGAATATATGTGGGGTTTTTTCCAACATGTAGCTGCAGTTTCTTTTCACTTCTGTACATAGTTGACTGGTAAATATACTGGAACTTGCTTTCCAGTTTTTTCTGTCAGGAGTTTCTGGAAACTTATACAACTGTCTTAGCTTCTAGTGCACACATTCCAGGTGACCTCTAGAGAAGTAGGGGCTGCTTTTGGTTTGTCTTTTTTTTTTTTCTTTTTTGAGTCGGAGTCTCACTCCATCGCCCAGGCTGGAGTGCAGTGGCACACACACTCACAACCACCCAGTGTTGAACTTCAGGGCTCCAGCGATCCTTCCACCTCAGACTTCCAAGTAGCCAGAACTACAGACATGTGCTATCATGCCCAGCTAATTTTTGACTTATTGTAGAAACAAGGTCTTGCCAAGTTGCCCAGGCTGGTCTCAAACCTGCAGGCTCGCAATCCTCTCACCTCGGCCTCCCAAAGTGCTGGGATTACAGGCTGAGCTACCGAGCCCAGCTAGGGACCACTTTCAACACTACAGAGATCAGGATCACGATGGAAAGGTCTGGCTTTCTGTCTGAAGACTGCAGCTCCCTTTTGAACACCCAGTCTTCCAGTCTTTACCTGTCGGGGTTGCTGATCCAAAGGGGTTCTCTGGGCACCTTTGCAATTACTGTTCCTCTGCCAGTCATAACCAAGGTGTGCCAGCCTTGTAGGCCCAGGCATCCTCCCCACACAGGCCCTCCTAGGTGATGTGGGCCAGGCCTTGGCTTCCAGTGCTGCCTCCACATCAGTGACTCCTGGATCTGTAGCTTTCGTCCAGACTCTTGTATCCCCGTCGCTCTGGCATCCCTGCTGTGTCTCAAAGGCGCCTCAGGCTCAGCACAACTAAGACTAATCAAGTGATCTTCCCCAAACCCCCATCAAAAAACCGCTGGACCCATCTGGCCTCCAGTTCTGTCAGTTTAAATGAATGGTGACAGCATCCATCCTGCCACCTGCTAAGGCCAAGACCTAGAGTACCAAGTCCTGCTGCCGACCTGAGTCTCCAAGGCTATCTGTGTTGTTCCCTCTTGTGACCATCTTTGACGGCTACCCTGACTTCTATCTGAAGTCACTGTTCCAGGTCACTTTTTCTTCATCCTGCTGTCAGCTCTTTTACAAAGATACCTGAAATAAAAATCTTCCATCTTCCCTAGTGGCCTCCCACTGCACTTAGGACAAGAGCTAATTTCTTTCTTGGCCTACAAGACCCATACTGACTGGCCCTGAAGAAGCTCTACTGGATTGCAGCCTGCTGCCTCCTGGCCCAGGATATGCAGAGATGTCAGATTGGTGCAGAGGTGCTGTGCACAGCATAAGTTACGGTAGCAGAATCTGACAACCTGGCTAGCATCAGGAGGCTGTTTTGAGTTTGGGAGGCTTTGTGGTGCATTAAAATGGGATGGAAAGTTTAAAAACTTAAACTTCTGGAGAAACATTCCTGCTGTGTGAAAAAATTGTTTAAAAGCAATATTTACATAATGTCAATTTTAAGGAAATAAAATGTTCCTTGTGGTTATTTCTAACATTTGGGAGGAGTATTTTTTGGGTGCTTTTCACTCAATTTTCCCCAGTGCCAACATCTTACATTACTTGTACAGTACCAGACTTGACACTGATATCTATATAGTCACAGGCATTATTCAGATAACATGGGTGTATGTGCACTCGTATGTGTGGCTCTTTGCCATCTTATCACGTGTATGGGTTCATGTGACGATGATGAAGACATAGAACTGTCATCACAGCAGTCTCCCTCGTGCTGCCCCTTTTGAGTTTTTACAGAGAACATTCTAACCTATGAAATGAGGGGAAATGTTATGTTTGAAATAAAGCAAAAAGGCAAGTATGGGAAATAATTAACAAGCTACAAGATAAACCTGAACCAAACAATCTAGCAGCTATTCCTTAAGGAGATATTTCTCAACCCCAGCAGAGAAAATGAAGGACCCAGTCCCAATTATGGGGGCGTTCCCGTAGGGCTAAATCTTAGTCTCTGAGGCCCCCTTTCAGACCCCTGTCTCTGAACGAGTTGGATGAGCATTATGCTGAGTGCAAAATGCCCATCTCAAAGGTCCACTGCTGAAAGGACAGAATTATAGAGACAGAATAGACATGTGGTTGCTGGGGACTGTGTGTGATTCTAAAGGGACAGCACTGGGGACAGAGTAGGTCTGTATCTTCATTATGGTTAACGGAACCCATGCCTGTAGTAAGATGGCATAGGACTACACATATATACATGGGTGCATATAAAATCAGTGTTACCTGGATAAGTCCTGTGATTGTACCAGTATCAGTGTCAATTCTGATATCATGCCACTGTCATATAAGATGTTACCACTGGAGCCTGGTGTGGTGGCTCACACTGTAATCCCAACACTTTGAGAGGTCAAGGCAGGAGGATTGCTTGGGCCCAGGAGTTCAAGGCCAGCTGGGCAACACAGACCTTGTCTCTACAAAAAAAAAAATCAAAAAAATTAGCTGGGCGTGGTGGAGCTTGCCTATAGTCCCAGCTACTCCAGAAGCTGAGGCAGAAGGATTGACTGGGCCTAGGAGGTCAAGGCTGTCATAAGTTGTGATCCAGCAGTGTGAGACAAAGTAAGACCCCAACTCAAAAAATTTAAAAAAACCAAAACCATCTTTAAAAGATACCTCGGAGTATCCTAGATGGTCTCCTACACCGCCCCACACACAAACTCATTAGATGGACAAAATTAAAACGGATTGCACCAGTGTTGAAGAAGATGTGGTACAGTAGGAAATTTCCTACCCTACCCTGCTGGTCCAGCACTTTGGAGAACAGTGTGGACACTCACAGCTTTGGGGAGGCACACATTGATCCCAGAGATCCATCTCTACATATACCATACAGAAAAATAGCCATACGTGCACCAAAAGACATAATTTTCATAGCAGCTTTACTCATAAGAACCGAAAACTAAAATGAGCTCAAATGGCCATCAGTAAAACGTTATATTGTGGTGCATTTGTTCAACAAGTGCTACACAGCATTGAAAATGAACCAACCACACACATTGGCCCAGTTGAAAGAATACATCGTAGGGTTCCATTTACATGTCCAAAAACAGGCACACTACGCTGTTATTTAGGGATGCACACAAAGTTGCAGTTCAACTAAATGCAAGGGAGCGAAGTCTAGGGCGGGGGGAGGGAGGTGGGCATGAGGACTTCCA